GAGTGCGGGAGAGGGCGGCAGCGTGGGGGGGCACGGGGCAGCGAGTGCGGGAGAGGGCAGGCAGCGTGGGGGGGGCACGGGGCAGCGAGTGCGGGAGAGGGCGACAGGGTGGGGACAGGCAGGGAACACAGGCGAGTGGCACTGGCTAGGTCATTCACTGAAATAAACCCTAATCATGCAAGACTGGCTAATTTTTTTCTTCAAAATCCTGTCTTACTAGAATCTATTCTTCCAATCTCAGATTTTGTTTATTTTTATAAACTTATTTTAAATAGAGTCCATGTGTATTTCAAATATGAACTAATATTTGATCTAAATATCAATTTCATTTTTATTACATATAAATGCTGAATATTATATATATACTAAATATGCATTTTCAAGAAAGCATGTTTTATTTAAGTCCCTAAAAATTGGACTCTAAATTACATTTATATTTCCAAATACATTTATGTTGATGGGAAGTATCTTCTTTTTCCCAGAACTGGGGATTGAACCCAGTCTACACACTGAACTACAGCCCATAATTAATCTTTATTTGGACGCACAGTCTCACTAAATTGTCCTGACTGGGCTCCCACTTGAGATCCTCCTGCCTCAGCCTTTCTGAGTGCTAGGATTTCAGGAGTGCAGCCCCATGCCCAGCTGGCGGGAATTTTTTCAATGCAAGGATGAGCAGAGAACATGACTAGCTTGAGATTAGGGAAAACATCTATTAAAGACGAGAACAAAGCCCCCTGGCCCCCACTGGAGACAGGACTGTGTGTGGCCTGAGCACCCTGCCCATCCCGTCCCGGCCCAGGGTGGCTGTGGAGTGGAGCCAGTACCTTCTGCGAGGCCTCCAGGGAAAGCGCATCGTATCTCTCTTTGAAGGGGATGCTCCTCTCCTCTGGCGGAGCCGCGTCGGGTCCAGAGCAGTTGGCGTCGCTGGCGCGGTACAGCGGGTAATGCTGCGGATGGTAGGGTCAGAGGCTGCGGGAGCCCCGGGTCCCCCCACGTCTCCACTCGCTCACCTGCAGCAGGATGGGGGCCGATGGGGGCAGCCGCCGCCCCGCTCCACACAGGCTGGCGCCCCGCACCTGCAGTCAGAGCCAACGTCACGTCACACCGGCTGGCACCTGAGGAGGGGCGGGCCAGGCTCTGCGGGCGAAGGGCACGGCACCCCCACCTCTCGGGAGCAGTTCAGCTGGCGCGAAATCTCCAGGAGCTCAGCCTCAGCCGCGGCGCAGATGTTACAGCCATCTCCCTCCATGGCCACGCTGTTGACCATCACGAAGCTGGGGGCGGGCGTCAAAGGACACGGGGGCCACGCGTGGGCTGCAGCCCAGAGCGGCTCCCTCAAGGCTCCCCTCGCTGCATGCATGCAAGACTGCATTTGAGGGCACCGTGCATTTCACACCTGCCCCGAGCTGGCACGGCCGAGCCGACCCTGGGCAAGTCTCCACTCCGAGCCTGGCTTCGATGTGGAGGACCAGGTACACCCCACCCACAGGCTCTGATAACCAGATGACACCACCCGGAGTGGCCAGGACTGGCCTGCTCCTACAGCCTCGCCCCACTCTATGGGGGGACTGGCAGGACCCGGGGAGCCGGGCGCCTGGCAGGGAGGAAGCGGGCTGGGCATCCCCAGCAGGGCCTCAAGGCTGGCTGTCCTCCAGACACCGGGGCCACTATCCACTCCGTAAGCTCTGCCCAGGGTGCCCGGCACATGGACCTGGCAGGAGACTGCGTGACCTTTACCGTTTAGAGGTCAGGAGCGAGGGACCCCGTTGGCCTGAGAGAGGAGCCTGTCAGAGGCCCCTCAAACACTGGGCCTTGGAATCACTCAAAAGGGCATTCAATCGCCACGGTGATGCCACCGGGACAGGAAGTCGCTGTCAGCCTGCTGGAGGCTCTCAGGCAGCAGGTGGAGGCGGGGCCCCCGACCTCGGTCCCAGTGCTTCTCGGAGAACGCCGACCCAGCAGCACAGTGAGCTGCTGTGCCCACGAGGACACCACAGGAAGACCCCTGGGACACCCTCCGCCTGAGCCCACAGCCAGGGAGGGGACCCACAGCCTGGTCTGCGGCTCAGGGCCAATGGCAAAGGGCAGGCAGAGGGCGCAGAGGCAGCCAGGGCACTGTAACCATGGGAACAGCCTTTGCAAAGTAAATCTGATCAAACAAAAAGATGCTTCCAGCTGGACACAGGCCCAGCTACTGGGAAGGCTGAGACAGGAGGATCACTTGAACCCGGTTTGAGGCCAGGCTATGCAGTGTAAATGAGACTCCATCTCAACAAAGCCAAAAGGAGGCCTTAGCAAAGTGGGCAGGGGAAACGCACAGCACCCGGGCCGTGGGGCAGGCTCTCGGGCGCAATCTCAGGCGCAGTCCAAATCTCTGGACTGGAGCCCGGCAGGGCCACAGACTAGAGGCTGTGGTTGCTAAGGGAACACACAGGGTGGTTTGGGGTTTCCCGCCCCGCTCCCACGGCCTGGGCGTGAGAGCACAGCACAGCAACACAGCAACCCTGCAAGGGAGCCGGCTCGGGGTGTGGCGCCGGTGGGCACCGGGACCCCACAGCCGGGCTCCATGCCTAGCAGAACACAGGCCGTACTCACTTCACTCCCTTCCGAGAAAACAGCCTCTCCGAGCCGAAGGCTTTCTCAAACCGCTTCACTTTGTAACTGGTCACCCTGCATTCAGAGGTCGAGAGAAACGTCCCTCAGACCCGGCCCTGTGGGTTCTGCAGCAGTGCCAGGGCCGTGGGCGTGACTCTTGGACCCACGTGTCGTGCAAGTTCACTAGTTCAGAGTGGCCCCAGCCCTGGATAGGAGGCTCACACCAGCCCCACAACCATCCAGGAGCCCTGGGGGATCCCCTAGCACCCCAGGGCCCCGGGTCTGCCCTCAGAAAGTGAGTGAAACAATGGGACCGAACCTGGAAGTGAGTGCACACCTACAGTCCCAGCGCTCTAGGAGGCGGAGGCAGGAGGATTGCAAGTTCAAGCCTAAACTAGTTACTCAGCAAGATCCTGTCTCAAGATAAAAATTAAAAAAGGGCTGGGGATGTGCAGAAGGCTCAGGCTCAACCTCCAGTGCCAATAATAACAATAACGAAGCAGCAGCGGCAGCAGTGCCCTAAGTGAAGGTAACCTAGGTGAGGGACTGCACATACGTGGAGTGGGCTGGCAGAGACAGACCTACAGCACAACAGCCGGCCCGCCTGTGGGCCGTGCAGTCCCTGGTCTCCCCACGGACCTCGAGCTGCGTGTTCCAGGCACACACACTGCTCGCCTGCCTGCACAGCGGATGCCTGCTGAGGGCGCAGCGCGATTCCAGCCCAGACCCTCACCCGCAAGAAGCACACACTCCAGAACTGTCCTCCTCCTCCACGGAGAGGTGGCCTCCTTCCCATGGAGGAACGGGCTTCCTGCTGGCACACAGCTCCGAGTGCGAGGGCCAGGGCCGGCCCACGAAGTACATGAATTAATCTGTAAAATGGGACTTCCCCTGAATCTTAGCAGGTTTAAAATGACAGCCAACCAGAGCTCCTGGGGCAGCAGCAGCAGCCAGACCCACTCACCAGTAGTGGAAGCCGATGTCATGGTTGCCGGCCACCACCTTCAGCTGCACGTGGGCTGGGTGTCTGAACATCTTCTGGAACCGACCCACGTCCTCCGCCCAGGCCTGAGAGGGAGAGGCCGCTGCTGAGAGCCAGAAAGCTGTCTCCCCTGTGCTCAACACACAATCCCAGCTGGACATGGTGGGCACACCCGTCAGCCCAGCACTCCAGGAGGCTGAGACAGGAGGGTCAAAAGTTCAAACCTAGCCTGGGTAATTTAGCAATCTATTGAGACCCTGCCTCAAAACAAAAAATCTAAAAAAGAGCTGGGGATAAAGCTCAGGGCAAAGATGGTACCCAGTACTGTGAAAGAAAAGAAAGGAGGTGAGAGGGGGAGGGAAAAAGAAAAAAATACCCTGCTGTGATGTGAGAAGTCCAAATCAGACGCTCATAAAGCTAAGGCGGAACTTCCAATTTTTAACCCTACATAGTGTTTTTCTCCAAGACTACCTCAACACTTAAAATTTAATACCTTAAATTGTTCAATTTGATGCCACATTTTAGTCAAATGGTATCCACCTCCTTTCTGTAACGTTTTTTAACTGGAAATCCCCCAAAGACTTATTATTTCAAGACCTCAAAACAGAGACCTGGGTCGAGGGTTGCTCTGGACCTGGACCTCTGACAAGAACAGTCTTAGGTTAGGAAACATCAGGCAAATTCTGCGCGAGTCACAACCAAGACAAGGGCGGCAACAGCCTCAGGCCGCTGCGGGCACCACTGAGGGAGAGGGGCAGCGTGGGGGAGAGGGCGCCAGCGTCCTGTGACCGCCCTCCGCCACTCTCCAAGCTACTTTGTGAGCTTCCAGGTCAGGGCAGTGTAGTTCTTATTCTTAGAAACCTCCAAGTTTCAACTGGAGCAAGACCTCAAGCTAGACAAAACATAACCCTCTCTTCTGAACAGTCACCACCTTTATTCTAGGCGCAGCCTAGGGAAATCTCTCCATAGGGTCCTTTAACAGTGACAAAGCCGGCACCTTAACAATTACCCCCTACTGTCAGAATAACAAAATCAGAATAGCCAGCTTAGAAAATCACAGGATGCTGCCCTCTGTTTAAAACAACACTGTGTAACTTGCAAACACAATCCAACCTCATCGTATGGCTGGCTGCTTTCTGCAGGTAGCATTCCGTGGTCTTGTATTTACTGAGACCCTGCGTTGTGGCCGTCACTGCGGTTCCCTAAGCAGTGGGTCCCTGTCACACCTGAACCAGGACTATCTGCACTGCCTCTGGGGCATCCTAGGAAACACCAACAGATTCCTTAAAATACTAGGTATTTTACCCAAATAAAATCCCCTCCAATAAACTCGGCAATAAGGACAAGTCTTCTCCCACCCACACCAAAGCTGAAATAAGCAGCATTCTGACAGCTGTGAGGAAGCAGTCTTCTCCCTGGTTTGGGAGGGGTCCCACCACTCCACCACCCAGGCCAGGGTCTCGAGCCCCACTCAAAGCCAAAGAGCCTCCCAGCAAGTCCACGGCTCCTCCTGCACCTCCACTCGGAAGGAAGAAAACCAGAGGGGAGCACGAGTGATGGAGCAGCAGTCCCCACAGCGGAGCTGCTGCTGGGAGTGAGGCAGGCGGTGCGTGCAGCCGTGGCAGAGCTTGCCCACCCACGGGAGACCTGGGTTCCATGCTCAACTCAGGAAAACCAGCAGTGCAAAGTTAAACTCCCCGGCATGTCCTGCAGTCCTGGCCACGGCTCATCCTGCACCATCTCGCCTGTCCTGCCCTTGCCAGCAGGCCCCGGGACTCCACATTCCCACCCAACCAGCTCTGCCCAACCCTACCTCCCGCAAGATCACACAGCCTCATTTAAAATGAGCATAGCACGTGCAAATCCTGAGACGCTTCAGATACACCATCCTTTGTAGTACCAGCATACTCTAAACCAAGCATGCACCGTGAGCCAATACAGGAGCTGTGGTCAGCAATACAGTGAAGATTTAAATTTTACAGCGTTGCCAGGCTCAGCGACACAGGCCTGTAATCCTAGCACTCAGGAGGCTGAGCCAGGAGGATTGCTGTGAGTTCAAGGCCAGCCTGGGCTACACAGTGAGTTCAAGCCAGTCTGAACAACGTAGTAAGACCTTGTCTCAAAAAACCAAAAATAAATAAATAAATTTTACAATATTTACTACAGCAAAAGACACAGTGCCGGGAATCACCCTCAAAATTCTCCCTCTCGCTCCACACATGCCTGCCCCATCATCCCTGCCACTTTCTGAAGCAGCGCTGGAGTCCCCCTTCCTGAGGGGCTTCAGTTGCACAGTCCTGCCTGCCTCGATGTCCTGAATCCATGCAAATGCTTTGACCGCGGAAAGCACAGAAGTTCCACGGTGCCGGATCTGGTGGGAGAGGACAGCACCAGGCTTTCCCGGGCCTGCCTTTCTGCTGGACGGCACACCGCAGCATTCACTGTATTTCTGATCACACCTCACAAACACACACACGAAAGAGGACTCCAGAGCTGCTGCAGAAAGCGGTGAGGATGGGCCAGGAACATAGCTCATCGGCACAAGCACCTGCCTGGCAAGAGCAAGGTCCTGCGCACAAGGTCCCGAGTTCAATTCCGGGTACAAAAAAAAGAAAGAAAGAAAGAAAGTGGCGAGGACAATGGGACCGGTGTGTCTGAAGCAGCAGGGGTCTTCTGTGCGGGACTCGGCAGTGTGTATTTCACTGTAACAGCTTCTTTCAGAATTTAAAAGCCACCTTCTGTTTGGGGCACCCTTGTAGCTTCCCAGTGAGGGCGCCTGGTGACAGGTCCTACCTGCGGTGAGCTCCACTTCCCCTCGTCAAAGATGTCACCCAGGATGAAGACGACCTCAGGCTGCAGCATCCACAGGGCCGTCTGGAAGGCTCGCTCCATCTGCCACTCCCTGGGCAATGGGAGGTCAGGCGTCAGGCTGGAGGCCACAGCGTCTCCAGCCTCTTGGGAGGCGGACTGCCTGGGCCTATCCTCTTCCTCTGTGACCCGCCCTGCCTTCCCACCCTCTGGTTCCATGCGGGGAACTGAGGCACTGAAGGAGAGCCCCACACCCTGCTAACGCTGAGGTCCAGAGTCCAGGCCACACAGCCCCCGAAGCCCAGGCTCCATCTTGACAGCCCAGGTGCAGGCTGAGAAGCTTACAGCATGTGCCATGCTTGGGAGACGACGGGCCAGGCCTCTGTTCCACACGTGTATGCACACACATGGGCACACAAGCACGCATATGCATGTGTGCCTGTGTGTGGTGCACTGGGCTGCACCCCCAGCCCAAGTTGCACTTCTTAAAGGGATAGAATCAGGGTAGACAGGGAGAGACAGTGAGCAGCGCACACTGTAATTCCAGCACTCAGGAGGCTGAGGCAGGCAGATCACAGTTCAAGGCCAGCTGTTACAAAGAGATCAGACCTAAGTAAAGGCCAACCTGTAAGACTTGCAGGAAGCCACAGAGCTGCTCTCCCTTGGCCTTCTCTGCCTGGCACCTTGGTAAAGCACACAGGGTCCTCTCCACCGCACATCTTTCCAGCCACAGACACCAAGTGCCCACCCCAGGGCCCCAAGGTCACAGCCTCTCACAAGAACACCGATGCCCAGAGGCAGGTGGTGCCACGGTGCAGAGAGGGGTTGGCACGGGGCCCCCAGCGCAAGGAGAGGGCCCCACCACCACTGCCACCGCTGCGATCCAGACGCCAGCCCTGTATCCACAGGGGAGGCCACCCCCACTGCCCCCCAGTGGGCAGGTAAGGAAACCGTGGTCTGCATACAAGCAAGGGTCAGCCTCAGACACACGGGGACAGGACGGACCGTGGGACGCAATGGAATGGAAATAAGCCGGTGGCAGAGACGGACAAGGTGGCTCTGCAAGGAGGGACCCGGAGTGGCCAGAGTCAGCAGGGAGGGGGTGGCAGGGGAGAGGCAGGGGGAGGGGAGGGGAGCGCTCGGGCGGGGCTCCTCCAGGGAGGAGGGGCCCTGGTGAGGAGAACCCTGCTTAGGGTGTGACACACAGCGGCACAGCGCAGGGGCCTGGGGGCAGTCACTGTCCAAAGTCACAGAGCTGACCAGCTGATGCCAGCTCTGACCCCAGGTCCCAAGCCCCGCATCCAAAGCACTCCGCACACAGCAGACTCCAGAAAAGCCAAGCGTTCCCAGCCCGTGAGGAAGATAACAGAGCATGACCCAGCCCCTCCCTCAGCCCAGGGCCCGGTGCTGCTCACCTCCGAAGCTTGTCCAGCCAGTGGCCTTGTACTTCTCCGAGCAGGTGTGTGTCAGCCAGGACCATGGCTCTCAGCACGGGTGCCTGCTCTCCGCCGCGGGCAGGGGCCGCCACCTCCGGCCAGCCACACCAGAAGATTACGAGGTAGTAGATTAAGAATTCGCAGAACAGCAGTGCAGCGAAGATGACTGCCATGAGCTTCCACAGCAGCAAACTCCTCTCCAGAAGGCGGAAGCCCTGCCTTCCCCACCCGCGCCAGGCAAGGCCCATGGCTCCTGTGTGCCCCAGGTGGCAGGGCCAAGTGTCCAGAGACCCAGAGGGAACTGAAGAAGCCGTGGAGGGTGGAGGCGGAGTCCAGGCTTAAAGGCCTGCAGCAAACAGCAAAGAACCAGTCCTGAGTCCTACTCACATCCCCAGAGAAGTCGGTCATCTTTCTTGTATTTTGCTTCGTGTATACCTCAGGACTCTTCCATTAGAGAACCCACACAGGGCTTCAGCTGTGTCTGGATTACCTCACTGCACACTACGGTCTCACGGAGCTGCGTCTTCCTACACAGGCTCGAGTGTACCCTCTGTGGCAGAGCCGTCTCCATAGTGTGTAAACAGCACATCAAAGGAGAGGCTAGGAAACGGGGAGGCAGAGCTTTTGCAAGAGGGAAGAGGACCGAGAGATGTGGGGGACAGAAGTGAAAGGACTTAAGATGCACTGTGTTCGAGCACCAGCTCCCCACGAGGAATGCGACCGCTGGGCAGGAGAAAAATGCACCCTAAAAATAAAAATGAATCATCGAGCACATTCTCATGCCCACACACCAGACTGCTCATGGGAAAGGTAACGACTCCCTTCACGCCTCTCTGCCTCGAGTGCGGGGACAGCCCTGCAGGGCTGCTCTTCCCACAACAGGAGGAAGTCTGCAGATGCTCTAGAATTCAATCACCAAGGGCCCCCCGAGACTCAGTGGGGGGCGTTGGCCAATATCACGTGCGCATAACCTGACTCCCAGAAAGACCCACCACCGCCTCTCCAAGACCTTAAACATCAACAGGTTCAGCTGGGCAAGGAGGTGCATGGCTACCATCCCAGCATTCCGGGAGGCTGAGGTAGGAGGTTGGTAAGCTCGAGCCCAGCCTGGCCAACTCAGCAATTTGGTGAGATCCTGTCTCAAAATAAATGAAAAAAGGGCTGAGAACGTAGGTCAGTGCAAAGACCCTGGGTTCCATCCCCAGGACCACAAAAAAAAATATCCACAGATTCCTGTGGCCTCTGGTGTGAACTCAGCACTTTTCTGCTCTGCTCTCCCACAAGGGAAGGGGTACTCGTGGGCACTGCGACTCGGGGACCCAACAATCATTACCCAAGGCCACTGGGGACCGGCCCAAACCCTGCCTGTGACCATCAATGCCAACAGACACTCGGGCAGAAGACAACGTGTGCAGTGGGACAGTGGCTCCTCTCTGGGCACCTCACAGGGGTGGACAGTCTTCCTGAGCCCCATGAGCTTTGCATCCTGCTTTGGGGTGCCCCAGAGGTGACAGGAGACACCCGTGAGGGTGATGCCTGTGTGTGGTACTGCCTCACCCTCACCAGCCCCTGAGGGCAAGAGGAGGCAGCAGACGGCCTGGTGCGTCCTCTGGCCTTGCTCTCCCTTTGTGGCTGGCAGGGATAGGCCCTCACCATGCTGAGCTCAGCCGTGCCCCATCCCTCGTGCTGTCACTTAGGGCGTAGCGCTGGAGCCTAAGTGTGGCGCCCTGACAGCGTCCCTGCAGCCCTCCAGCCTGCAGCTCGAGGCCCTTCTGGAAATTGCCCCGAGAGCCACAATGTCCTCGTCCCCACGCCCCCTTCAGTGTTCCCGCAGCAGCCCACAGGGGCCGAGAGGCCCAGGACACTTGGAGGAAGGGCACTGCTGAGAGTGGCAGCCTGGACAACCTCACCCACAGGCCTGCCCCAGCCGCCCACACCTCTGCCTGCGGGAACAGCGCCCACTACCCCAAAGCCAGCCTGGAGAGCACGCGGGCCCATGGGTGCCAGCAGTAACCACACGGGGCCCCAGTGCAGATCCACTTGGCTGGCGCAGGCGACTGAGAAAGCGGCTCCAAGGCACAGCGAGGGCACTTCTTAAAGCACCCAGGGCATTGGTCTTCATAAACCAAACTTAACAAAGCCAGGGACCCCACTTGCTTTCACAAGACCTGGACTCCCAAAAGCGAAGCCAGCCCGGCTTGCAACTCCCTAAGTGAGGAGCAGAGGGGACTCTGCCCCCCAGGTGGGGCGGGGACACCTCCGTCCCAGGGGAAATCCAGAGGCTGCTTCCAGGCTGCTCCTCCACCCACTCTGCCCCTTGCTCAGCAGCTGTGACTCAGAGCTGGAGAGGCCACCCTGCCCCGCCCAGTGGGGTCCAGTGTGAGGAACACTCAGCAAAGTCCAGGGCGCAGGGGGACCTTGCGGCTAGGCAGCCTGTGGGCGTGCCTGGCCTGATCCTAATTCCCCAGCTGGCCCCACATCCCCACAGAGATGATTCCCAAGCTGCCAGCAGGAGACCCAGGGTGACAAACCAAGAGGCTCTGGCCCCAAGCTCCCATGCTCCTCTGCACAAAGAAATAAAAACCATCCTGCAGAGCAGGGCCTGGAAGGCAGGACAGGGACAGAGGGAAGGAGAGAAGAGAGGAGGCAGCGAGACCCTGGCGGGGCAGCACCACCATCCGGACCTAAACGGGGGAGTCTGCTTCTAACACTAAACCCTCAAGAGTCGTTGGGCTCAAATATGGAACACCCCTCTTCCTCCTCTGCCCTAAGGTGGGGTGAGACTTCCCAGCACTGTCCCACACTGGGACAGACCCGTCCCGCCCCTGGAGTGAAAACGGAGGCCCCGAAGAGCTGACCGCAGAGGGAAACAGGAGGTCACTCCTACCCCAGTGCAGTAGAAAAACGGACCAGGCAGGCTCAGCGCCCCGCCCACTGAAGGACCGGACTGAGCCCCCTCCTTCCTGCAGCAACTGGAAAGACCGGCTGGGAGGCCTGGAGAGAGTGGGAGGGGCCCGGCTGCGGTCCACACCCAGCTGCAACCACGGCACCAGCAGGAAGAGGATCCAACCAGAGCTCCTGGGCTCACAGGCGCAGCACCACTGGCTGTGTCCTGCCAGGAGCACTGTGCCTGGTGAGTGCTTTCAGAAGTGCCTGGAAATGTGCCTCAGTCTGTCCTCCTAGCACTCTGGGAGGCCGAGGCAGGCAGATTTTGAGTTTGAGGCCAGCACAGGCAACTTAGTGAGATTGTGCCTCAAAGTAAAGCTCAAAACGGAGAAGAGCCGATGATGAAGCTCAGTGAGAAGCCCCTGGGTTTGGCCCCCAGGCACAGACATGGGGGAACCACGATTACTTAGACCAGTACTGTTTCCACTTCCCAAGAAGGAAGACCTGTCACCATCACTCAGATTAACACAGAACCCAACAGGGACCTCCGGCAGCCCCCACAGCACAGTGTGGACCAGCGTCTCCGACCCCCGCTGAGGAGGAGGCTGCAAACTAGACCTCTGGGCCCTGTGCACAGCTGAAACGCCGAGCCTGACCTGCGGTATCTTGATTTCTTCACATAGACACCTTCTTCCCAATAGCACAATAATAATAACAAAGTGAGAGCTCAGCTCGCTAACATCTGCAACCACATTTTCTTCAAAAATCTAGAACAAAGCCGGGAGTGGTGGCTCACTCCTGTAATCCCAGCACTCGGGAGACTGAGGCAGGAAGATCTCCATGAGTTCAAGGCCAGCCTGCACTACACAGCAAGACCCTGTCTCAAAAAAAAAAAAAAAAAAAATCTAGAAGACACTCATTATTGGTTTATGAGCTCAATTTGGTGATTTGTGACCAAAAGTTTTTTAAAATAAAGTAAACTAGTCAGGTGCAGTAGTTCATACCTGTAATCTCAGCTACTCTGAAGGCTGAGGCAGGAGGATCATAAGCAAGTTGGAAACCAGCTGGGCAACATACAGATCCTGTTTCAGAAAAGCAAAAGGTGTTGAGGCTGTAACTCATGGTAGAGGATACATAAACAGCAGACCATATCGGCTCCTAGGCCACAGTAAATTTCATGACAGTCCTATTTCCGTGCTCACGCGCGGTGTGTGCTGGTCACGAGGCCGATGCACTTCCCTGCAATCGCTGCCAGCATGCTGAGGACCAGAGCCCCACTTCCCCACTTGTGCCCACACCCAGCACCTGCTGACTCACGCTCGTACTTGGTTTCGTTTTCCCAAACATTTTGGAATTACACACACGTGTTCACTCTTTTGCTCTTACTGTTTTTAAACGCTTAAACCTAGAATCTTAGAAACAGGAAGGAAAGCTGTGGACGTGGCCCCTATTCACCTTGATAAAAAAGTCTGCTTCACGTTGGGCTGAGCAGCTTGGCAAACAGGCCCACAGGACACGTGTCCTCACCCATGCCCATGTGGAAATCCACAGAGGAGAAGCCAGGCTCGCTCGACGGCTGGAAAAGTCACGACCATTTCCCCTTTCTGAACAAACAGGGAAGTAAAGTAACTCCTCGGCTGTCCTTTGACCTGGGGTCCCAGGCAGCTGGGAAGCTCAGTTCCCCAGTGTTTCTTCCCAGCGACGCGGACCCAGGCAAGTCAGTCAAGCACAGGAAGAAACGCACACAAGCACACAAGCACACACACACGGAGTCCAGAAAGCTAACCTGCAGTGAGGACTTTCTTTTGCATCTAAATGCACTACTTTTTTAAGGGCGTGGGGGTTGAGGGCGGAGCCTCCGGCCGCAAGCACGAAGGCAGGTACTCCGCACGGCCCTTACACCACTTTTGCACCGAACATGCAGGAGGGGCAGGGAGGAGGAGCAGGAGGAGGCCAAGTCAGGAGAACCGGCGCGCGCCTCACCTTTAAAGCTCGCTACTGCACAGCGGGATCAGTGCAAACGCTCGAAGTTGGCATCTGCTCCCAAGATTCAGAGTGCATTTATCTGAAATAAAACAGAAAATATGTTTCGCTGCTGGGCCCTCTTTCATGTAGTGAACGCGCGGCAGGTAACCGGGCGCAGCAGAAAGCCGAGCGGAGGAGGGAAGCGGCCGCGGTGCCCTCGCTGGAGGAGGAGCAGGGCACGTCCGCGAGGAACGCGGGGCGGCAGGCGGAGGAACCCGCTCCGCTGCGGATGGGCACGCACGCTGGCACAGCACTGCGCCGCCAGGGCCCAGCGTCAACACCCGCAAACGGATACTCCTGCCCAGCCGCGCTTCCCCCCGGGCCTCCGGG